TATCGAAATGGTCCCATTATATCTCATATGCTACTTTGTGTGGCATTGTTATATCCTTGCATTAAAGTAAAACATTCAATTGGCTCCATAATTTATTCTGCTGCCATTAACATTAGTTTCGTGAGATATTCAGAAATGATACCCCCTGAAAAAAGATGTAGAAAGCTAATTTGTCAAAAGAATTTTTTTGGTATGGCAATCGTTCTGATTTCAAGAAATTCATATCTTTATGTTGTTTTGCACCACCTCCGTAAATCTCATTGTAGTCACCGAGAGACTCATTAACCACTCTCTTTTATGCTACTTGTGTTACAAACATTGTCCCTCTAGAAAAAAAGTCTTTCACATTTCAATCCTCGAGTCTATTCTCATGACAACTTTTCATTTCAGCTTCATATTTTTCTACTCCATTTGGCCTTTCTTTTTGTTTCCTCCTCTCAGTAATTTTTTATATCTCCCCATGAATTCTTCTGGCCTGTGTGCCTTCTTCACAGTTACCTTGCAAGCTTGTTTAATTAGACAAATAAGATGCCAAGGGGAAAGGGAAATGCTTCATCTACCGCTAGGCCAGTTGAACCTGAAAAGCAGAATGAATCTGAAAAGCCAGTTGACTCTGATGAGAGGGTAGATCTGGATGTTGATAATGACCCTGAGGAGGTAATGGAAGAAGATGTTGAGTACGAAGAAGTAGAAGAGGAGGAGGAGGTGGAAGAAATAGAAGAAGTTGAAGAGGAGGAAGAGGAGGAAGAGGTGGAGGAGGAGGAGGTTGAGGAAGAAGATGTTGAAGGAGTGGAGGATGGTGGAAATAATGACAATGGGATTAATGCCCAAAATGAGAATGGTATTGATGAGGATGAAAAGAAAAAACATGACGAGCTTCTTGCCCTACCTCCTCATGGTTCTGAAGTATATATTGGTGGTATTCCTCAAGATACTTCTGAAGAGGATTTGAGAAGTTTTTGTGTATCCATAGGAGAAGTTACCGAGGTAATCCCAATTTTATTTATTTCATATCCAGATTATGTGGTTTTCTCAGGACTAACGGCATTTTGCTTCAAGCAGGTTCGCATTATGAAAAGTAAAGATTCAAATGAGAATAAGGGCTTTGCATTTGTTACCTATAAAAGTGTGGAGTTGGCTTCTAAAGCAATTGATGGGCTGAATAACACGGAATTCAAGGTTCCCTTTTTACTTCTGTTCATAGTCCATACACCAATAAGTTGATACATTAAGTGCAAAGCTGGAAGCTAGTGTTGATATTTTGTAAATATTTAAAATTTTTGGAATCTTCCGTGCCTTTTCGTCCCAATATCTTTTCCCAGTATTTTTAATGACCTTCTCTCTGCTTGTTCATGTGACATAGGGGAAGAAGATAAAATGTTCATCATCTCAAGCAAAGCACCGTTTGTTCATGGGTAATGTTCCCAGGAGCTGGGGTGAGGAAGATCTTAGGAAAGTTGTGATGGACATTGGACCTGGAGTTACTGCGGTGGAACTAGTAAAGGTTAGCATGACAGAGTTTTCATGTTATATTTTAACATGACCTCTTTCTACATCTGTACTATGCTGTGTTCATGTTCCGCAATTATTGTACTCCTTTTGGAAGACTATACAAGTTTCTGCAACGTAACCTGGTGTGCTAGTTTCTTGGATCTGATGTTACCCAATTTTGTTGCAGGATATGAAGAATACTAGCAATAACAGGGGTTTTGCTTTTATTGACTATTATAATCATGCATGTGCTGAGTACTCAAGGCAGAAGATGATGAACCCAAAATTTAAGCTTGATGACAATGCTCCAACTGTTAGTTGGGCGGACCCAAAAAATGCTGATTCATCTGCTGCTTCACAGGTCTTACTCAATTGCTTTTAGATTTCTCCCGTTATTAGTCCATTCAACATGCGTGTTTCTTTTTTTGATTCATGTTATAATAAATAAGTAACGAATGGCTTTTATTAAGATATCTATTGAACTCGGATTGTTAAATAAATTAGCTTATGGGTCAACTAAATGTAGACTGATTTTGTATTTATTTATATAATAGTAGCTAATGAATTTCATGTAATTATTTATATGCTTTTAATGAGTGTGAACTTGAAACATCTGTGTACATAAATTTGTTGACAAAAAAAAGTCAAATTGTCAAATTAATAGTTATTTATTGAGTTTTTAATCTAACAACTATTTTTTAGGATAATCGAGGCAGTTGTCTCAATTTTTATGATGATATGACTAGAGTCCTTTGCACCTAAAAGTTGGTTTTTGTATTTATGACCTCCGTTGATTATTAACAGAAGATGGGACTTATTAAGTTCTGATCTATTTGTTTTCAGATTTAATCTTTGGGTTTTCTGTTTTCAATAATAGTTTGGTCTTCTTTTCTTGGTCCATGCAGGTGAAGGCAGTTTATGTGAAGAATTTACCAAAGACTGTAACGCAGGAGCAGTTGAAAAAACTGTTTGACCATCATGGGAAAATTACAAAAGTGGTTTTGCCTCCTGCAAAGTCTGGTCAAGAGAAGAATAGAATTGGTTTTGTACATTTTTCGGAGAGGAGCAGTGCTATGAAGGCTTTAAAAAATACAGAAAAATATGAATTGGATGGTGATCATTTCTTCAGAAGCTCTTCTAAATTTTTTTCATTTTACCCACCACCAAATGGAGTTGGTCTTTGATATCCGTTCTTTGTACTTATATAACAGGTCAAGTTTTGGAGTGTTCTCTTGCAAAGCCACAGGCAGACCAGAAGTCTGGTGGATCGAATAGCCAAAAATCTGGATTGCTTCCTAACTATCCACCTCGCGTTGGATATGGCTTTGTTGGCGGTGCTTATGGTGCTGTAAATCCAGGATATGGTGCTTCTGGTTTTGGTCAGGTATAATGTTCGTATTTATTTATCTCCTTAGTGGGTTCTAAACTTGGCATGCTCATATCCCGATGAGATTAAATTAGCCATCTCCTTTTGAGTTATCCTTTTGTCTAGACAAGTGGTTAAGAGTATAGTTATAATTGGAGCTCAGAAGAATTCAACGGGTCTTGTGAATGTCACTTGCCAAAGCAACGATACAACAGCGCTGGGTTTGATTCTTCTAGTTCGTTTGGAGGAACGATTTGATAATCTCTAGAATTTTCATCCTGAACTTTTTGTGGCTTTCATTTAATCCATTGGCTTTGGAGTGATTAGTTTAGTTTAACGCTTCTCTTCAGTAGACTACTGTGCCGTTCCATCTGCCTCTCTGTCTTGAATGAATGGTTTTCAGTTCACATTTTTTTAGAAGGAAAAAAAATCTGATTGAATTGCACTTGTGCTGCAGCCGTTGATATATGGAAGAGGACCAACTCCAGCTGGCATGGCAATGATGCCAATGTTGCTACCTGATGGACGGATTGGCTATGTCTTGTAAGCTCGTTCATCTTTTCTTTACCTTCAATGGAATATACTAATCAAGATATGATTGGAACAGAATTTATTTTGAGAGAGTTGAAAAAGAGGGTTCCATTAGAAGTCCTAGCTTAAAATGACTGCCTTCGTTTTGAAGGTCCTGTCCACTTCATTTCCTTAGTGAGGCTGCTTTTAGGTTTACTTACCTGGAAAAGCATGAAAAGTCTGACAATCCATCCTAGAGTAAATTGTTTCACAGCTCTGATAGCTTATGCCAAACTCCCATATTTCTTTTGCAGGCAACAACCAGGGTCACAAATGATGACTCCACCACCACATCCAAGAAGCGGTGGCGGCAGCGGCAGCGGCAGCGGTGGGGGAAGTGGCAGTAAAAGTGGCGGCAGTTCTAGTAGGGGGGGGAGACATACACATGACAGTGGCCATGGTCGCAGGTATCGGCCATATTAATTCCAGCCGGTTGGACGTTCTGCCCGTGAACAAAACATGAGTGTCGGCCTGGAAATGCCTCTCCCTCCGCCTAACAAGTGATCATAGATTATTCCTCAGTATTGATGATTAAGAGTGGAGCTAGCTAATTAATGGGGTTTGTAATGTGTTAGTTTCTATCAATATTTACCTTACCTTACCTTACCTTACCTAGGTTACAGTTCAAATTAATTTATGTGTTCTCCCCTCGGTTTTGTTCCTTTATCTCCCTACTACTTTTTAGAGAACAGAAATACGTTTTAGCAATCATCTGTCATAAAATTGGTGATCTCGAATTTGAGAATGTGTATGCCTTACGTGTTAACCAACTCCACCATTGGTACGTAAAAGAGTTCATAACTGATGCAACCGTTTTGACCAGTCGGCTACTTAAAACATCTCAAAAGGGGCTGTGAAAGTATAATTAAACATATGATATTAATTTAAACCAACTGATAAAATGATCGTGCAATGTAAATTACCTAATAAAATAACAAAGATTTCTATTTAAATTTATAAGGATGTGAAAATAAAATCATTTACAAGGGTGTGAAAATCTCTCTGCATTTTAAAAATCTTGAAAGAAAGCTCGAAAGGGAGGGAAAGCCCAAAGAGGACAATCTTGAAAGAAAGCCTGAAATGGAGGGAAAGCCCAAAGAGGACAATATTTGCTAGTGGTGAGCTTGCACCGTTACAAATAGTTCAAAGCCAGACATCAGGCAATGTGCCAGCGAAGAGCTCCAAAGGGGAGGTGAACATGAGGCAATGTACTAGCAAGGAGTTGGCTCCTAAAGGGGGGTGGATTGTGAGATCCCACATCGGTTGGGGAGGGAGGGGAATGAAACACCCACATTAGTTGAAGAGGAAGGAGAACGAAACACCTTTGAAGAGTGTGAAAACCCTTCCCTAGCATGTGCGGTTTAAAAAAACCTGGAGTAAGAAGTTCAAAGGAAAAAGTCCAAAAAGAACAATATCTACCCGCAGTGGGCTTGAGTCGTTACACATACTTTACCAAAACACTAACCATACCTTTCAACCGTTCATCGTTCATGTTTCAAGAATACCTATCTCATCCCATTGGTGGAATAATAATAATATTTCAGAATTGTTGAGTTTTCTGTACCAAATGCACCACCAACATTTGTGGATTTTATACGTTAGAAACTAAGAAACAAACATGTCCTTCATGTCTGGCATTCGAAAAACTATGGGGGAAAAACCCAGAAAACAAATGGATTTAATAAGGTATGGGAGCCTCTCTCACTACCATGTGGACAGAGATACAGAACTTGCCAAAAAGTGCATCTGCCGCTTCACAATATACAACCTAAATTAGTCTCAGAAAAAAGAAAAATATACTCCTAGAAGACTTGCAAACCATCTTATGCGTACAAAGTGAGGAATAACCTCATTTTAAGTACCTAATTAGGGAAATACATCATGTTTCTCAGTCATCACTGCCACCATTCTCAACTTCATCTTCATCTTCATCTTTATCGTTACCGTCATCGTTATCGTCATTGTCATTTTCGACATCATCTTTGCTTTCACCATCAGTACCTTCAACTGTAGGCTCTTCTTCTATCTTCCTCTTTTTCGCTTCTTTTATCCTGGACGCAGCTGCCTTCTTTCCAGCATTCTTACTTCTGAATTCTACATTCAGCCAAGCCAAGGTTGCATAATAAATCATTAAAAAGGTTCAACTAGCTTTCTTTCATACTCATCCTGGATAAAAGTTTGAAAATGCCATAGAAAATCATAGCCTGCGGAAAGTAAAAGTGCTTTCTTCGTACAATAAATTCAACATTTCTTTTGTCATTAAATTAACCACAGATATCAAATGACGTAGAAGTCGGATAATGGCTAGGAGGATTTGGAAGGCATTATGGCACTAAAACTTCCAAGGCTTAGCTCAAGACCCCATTACTCGTAGTCCAAGATAGGAAAATAGCTTAGTTTCATATATTATCTGAAAAGAGTAGGCATTCTGCAGCATGACAATTACCCATCCTGCCTAATAATCAAGAGAAAAGAAAGTATCTACACATTGAACTCGTACTGCAGTATAAAAATTTCATAACCCACTATATAAATCATTAATAAAGGATCTCATACAATCTTTCATATCAAGAATATAAAGTATAATCAGATTCCATATAAAACCTCACATGTCCAACGACAGATGGAAATAGAACTAGTAGAGCCTGGTTACACACCAGTAAATAGAAATCTTGCTCACTTTACCTAATTTTCAAAATGGTCTAAGTATATACTTCTACTAATACAAATAGACAACATAACTAAAGATAGATCCAACAAAAACCTCCAAGGATTCATAAGCACTTGAATATTTATTTAATGAAAGATTATTCAATCTAATCGAATAATAAATTTTTGATAAAAGGCATGCATGGGTTACTTGAACTCTAAATTATATTCCCCCAACTTGAAGATCAATCAAGTAGAACCTCAGGTAAATGATTAATTATACATTTTTTATGTCAAGCAAGAGTTCATAGGAATTAAAGAGGGAACTTCGAAAAATCCGCTTTTCTTTTGTCACAAGAGTTCTATTGTAGAAAGAGTCATGCAGCAAAAACTTTCACCAATACCCCACTCAATGAATAGGAATTCTTTCTAAAACAAAGGAGCAATTGATTTCTTCCCTAAACTAGGTAAGGAGATTGAGATGAATTCCTACAGTCTTCTTATACTACATGAACAATTCAACTACAGAAACTAACGGCTCAGTCCTTCAGACTTGCATTTTGTAACTTGTATCCACTTTTCACATGAGAACTCTATCCTATCATGATGCCAAATCGACTCGTCTTGGATGTTTGAGGAACTGATAAGAATTTTCTTATAATGTTAACGGCCCCTTTGCACAATAGCCGTGCAATATTTCACGCTCCTGAAGTGTTAACGAAATTCATCAAAATCGAGATTGAAAGTCTAGAATACCAGACATTTTAGGCAACGAAATCATGCAAGAGCATAAAAACAAGATCATGCTAGCAACCAAATAAAAGAGAACCATTAGATCATCTTTCGGCTTTTAAAGAATGTTCAGCAAGTTACAACTATCAAAACGTAGTTATCCAATTAATCGTGCAATTTCATGCTCCAATGAGTAATGATTTTCCGGAGAGAAACAAAAAGGTAAACTGAGTGGTTAGAACTTAACGCACCATTGAGGGAAGCCTTAAGAGGCCTAACCAACTCGGGAAATTCCATATCTTCTAGAGCTTTCAATACATCTTCCGCCTTAATCGTCTGCCTCTTCGATTCCTTGCATATATCATTCGACCTGCTTAGAGATCAACCAGTTAATACGAACGCAAAAATTAACTAATACATAACAACAATTTATTTAATCCTAGCGCCATAACAACAAGAGATTCATCACTTTAATCTCTTTCGCTTTCGTTCTTCAGGCACACAGAAGAGAAACAACGAACCCTAATTTCGAACATCAGAATCGATAGAATTTCATTCAGGATTCAAAAAAAAAAGGCAGGATGCCGTACTTACGTTGCGGAGAGGTAATGAATGAAGATCCGAGCGCTCTCGCAAAAGGCTAGAAGCGAATCTTTGTTGACGGAAATATCCTGGTTCCGAGAGCACTGAGAAAGCTTCTCTTTAACCACTCGGCGAACTATAGTCTTCGGAAGCTCTTCGATCTCAGCCCCAACTTTTTTCTCCATCTTCCTCTACTCTCTACCTCAACGATGCCTCAGAGTGTTCTTCTTTGGCTCTTCAGCTTAAAGATTGATCTCTCTCAGAGGCGGCCTCTGCAGTTCCATATTCATCGTTCTCGAATGTGTTTCCCGCCATTAATTTCAGTGTTGAGGCCTTCAGGGTTTCGGTCCATCAATTCTGTGCCCTTTTTTTTCCCTCTTCCGGATCTCTATGTAAAACGATCGTACAAAGTGGGACGACATGTCGTCAAGATTTGAACAAATGGGCTGGGCCTGGCTAAGAACAACTCATTGGGCTATTTATCAAGATGGGCTAATCTGGTTGAGCAATTTTATATTTAATTTAGATTTAAAATTATATTACAAAAATAACAATAGTACACGTGACAAAATCAAAATACAGGTTGGGTTTCTTTTCTTTTTCGTTTTTAAATAATAATAATAAATTCAAGATTAAATTTATAATTTATCAATTCTTGTAATTTAGAGCTCCAAATTATGACGTAATTTGGAATATTTCTATTGAAATGTGAGATACCGGTTGGATTGGAGAGAGAAGGGAAAAATAATATGAAAACTTTGACATGTTTTAAAATTGTGACACTGTGAGCGATACTTAACAAACCAAAGCGGACAATATTTACTAGCGGTGGGTTTGGATTATTACAAATAGTATTGGAGCCAGTCATCGAGTACTATGCTAGCGAGAACATTGAGCCCAAGGGGATGGATTGTGAAAAACATTCGTTGTAGAAGTGTGAAAACCTCTTGGTTAGTGAAGAGGTTGGACTCTCAACCATGTCCCACCTTAGCGAGGATAGGGTGTGAAAACTTTCCAGTAGCAGACACATTTTAAAGTCTTGAGGGGAAGCCCGAAGGGAAAGCCCAAATATTATAATATCTGCTAGCGGTGAGCCTGGGACGTTACAGTGGATCACGAACAACATTTCTTTGTAAGAATGTAAAAACTTTTTAGCTACTTTTTAATTAACGAGTACTTCTCTGTAAGGGTGTAGGAACTTTTTAGCTAACGAATGCGTGGGATCTAAGGAGTAGATTGTGAGAAGCATTCAATGTAAGGGCGTGGAAACCTCTTCGCCAACGAGTACGTTGCACCTCAACAGAATGAATTGTGAGAAGCATTTATTATAAGGGTATGAAAGCAATTGGCGAAACAAGCCGCTGCCATGGCGGCTACAACGAGAAATGGAAGAAAGAGTGGCTCTTTTATTAACGGGACGGGTGCTTGAGAGTCGATCAAATTAAGAACTCGCTGCTGCTGCTGCGGCATGAGGCACACTATGATGGCCGGTAAGCTAATATCTTCTCTGTCCTGTTCTGCAGACACCTCGACAGCAAGACATTAACTCTCTTCACCTTTCCCACTCTTTCATGTTCTTCGTCAACACTCTCCGTCTACTCATTTAATTACGTTAAAATCGCATTTACAACGACACCAGAAAGGTACCCTGCATTGTGTCGCCAAAGTTAATGCACTTTTGTGTTGAAAAACAGAGAGTTTCTGGCCCAATGGGGTGCCCCTTGCTTCACGGATTTGGTTTCTTTCCGAGCCATTGATGGCTCTTATACTGACAGCAACTACCCTCGAACCCTTTTGGGGCCCTTCATTAAACGCTCATTCTATGTCTCTTACCTTCTCTACAAAACCCATTTTCCATTGGCTGCAAATTCGCAACCTCTCTGTAAATTCAGGGCGTTTTCATGGCTCTTGCAAGCTTGGTTACAGCATGTCTCTTGACGGCGATGGCTGCGAGCGTTGAGGCCTCGCCGTCGACCACTCGCATTCTGAAAGGGAAGGTGTCCTGTCTCGACTGCGACGCCGCCTATGATCTCTCAGGTGTCGTTAATTAAGAAAATTTAACGAAATTTGTGTGTAATTTTGATGATTTGGTATAAAATTTTGGTGCTCTGTTTTTCACTGACATGGCCTCAGAGATCGTGGTGATGGTGAAGTGCGAGAAGGCAGGGAAGGTGGTGACAGCCACTACGGCTAAAGATGGTGGTTTCGCGACGGAGCTGCCTTCCGACGAGTGCGAGGCTAGGCTCGGCGGTGGTCGGAACCAGCTCTACGCCGCAAGAAAAGACATGGTCGCTGAAATCGTGAGGGTCGGTGATGGGTCGGGTTCCGGAGACGTGTACGGCACTTCCACTCCGCTAGCGTTTTGCAGTGGGTGCCGGTGCCGGTCGATCGGCAGCGACGGCGGGAAACAGTGCAAGGCGGCGGCGCGGAAATTTGGTTCTTCCAAGACCTTCGACCTTCCTCTGCCGCCTGAGTGGGGGCTGGCGCCGTCTAGCTACTATTTTCCTTTCTTCCCCATTATTGGCATCCCATAAGATGTGTACACGTGTCGTTAGTATTCTACTAGTCTCTTTAATGTAGTGTGTGTAATTAAAGGTTAAATCATATTTTTAACCTTTAGTTACTTTAATTACTGTTACTGTAAAACATTTTAATTAGCTTAACTTTCACGTTTGTTCTATTTAATCATTTTCAACGTTTAGCTGACTTAAAAGTAGATAACAAATTAATTTTTTTTTAAAATAAATAATTATCAAACATGACCATCACGCTCAATAATTATTCACTTAAATCCTCCTTATATGATTTTGAGTGAAATATTCCATTGAATTCGTCTTAACCGTGGCTCATGAGTTATGTAGAGAATTAGAATGATTCGCGAGAACTATTAAAGACTCACCCATTAACTTTTGGTAATTAACACGTATAGATAGTGAGATCCACATATGTATCGTTTTATGACTATGAGTTTGTATAGATAGACATGTGCCCTAAAATGTATGAACTTTATAGTATCATAGTAATATGAATTTGTTTGGATAAGGACAAGATTAGCATAGGTATATAGCAGTTGACAAACGCAGTAGTCACTTTATCTTTGATGACAACTGTTAGATGAACATGACTCTCCACAATGGTATGATATTGTCCACTTTAAGCTTAAGCTCTCATGGTCATTCCAATGGAGTTAGTATTTCTCACTTATAAATCCATGATCATTCCCTAAATTAGCCGACGTGAGACTTTCATCATCCAACAACAACAATATTAAGGGACCCATTAGAAAGTTGCTAGCTAATTTTTAATAGAGAACCTCTCTAGACCGACCGTGTTGCATATATGTATATGTATGTATGTATATATATATGTGTGTGTGTGTGTGTGTGTGTGTGTGTGTGTGTGTGTGTGTGTGTGTGTGTGTGTGTGTGTGTGTGTGTGTGTGTGTGTGTGTGTGTGTGTGTGTGTGTGTGTGTGTGTGTGTGTGTGTGTGTGTGTGTGTGTGTGTGTGTGTGTGTGTGTGTGTGTGTGTGTGTGTGTGTGTGTGTGTGTGTGTGTGTGTGTGTGTGTGTGTGTGTGTGTGTGTGTGTGTGTGTGTGTGTGTGTGTGTGTGTGTGTGTGTGTGTGTGTGTGTGTGTGTGTGTGTGTGTGTGTGTGTGTGTGTGTGTGTGTGTGTGTGTGTGTGTGTGTGTGTGTGTGTGTGTGTGTGTGTGTGTGTGTGTGTGTGTGTGTGTGTGTGTGTGTGTGTGTGTGTGTGTGTGTGTGTGTGTGTGTGTGTGTGTGTGTGTGTGTGTACAGGGAGGCAGAAGAATTTTCAAAAGGAATGATTAGGCGCGTGCAACAATGCGCATGCAACAATATAAAAAGAGGAGAAAAGGGTCCCAATGGAACTTTGTAAAATGATTATTTATTAACTATAAGCTGACCTACTCTCCTCCACTCGGTTCCCGTTCCACGCGCCACGTTGTTTCCGCGCATATTCCACGCGTTCTACGCCTCATCTCCTTTTACGACTCATTCAGTAAATTATATATTAATATCAATTTATACTCCTCAATTTCTTAATTTAAAAATGTCAATATTATATTAAAAAAAAAAAAAAAATCCAACACCCTTAATTTCCTTTTTCAAAACATGTTTAAAAAAAAAATATTGGCATCCAAAATCATTTTCAAACTTTCTATTTATTTATGGTAAAGTTTGAATATTAATATTATTGTCGTAAGTATATGAATATTTTTCAAACATGGTATTAATAGATTCCTATACTAACAATATTTATTTAAAAATATTTAAATATAATATAGGTACGTGTATATATATATATATATGTGTGTGTGAACGTGGAAGAAATTTTATTTTTCCATTTTGTTGACAATTAACAACTTTTTCACTTGCTATTGGATAATTCATATATAATAATACCAAGTCTTACAAGGCAATTGATTATTCTTTGAAAATAAGTAAAATAAAAGTAGAAAATAGTTTATAAAAATTTAATTTAATTATTAATGTATGGATGAAAATAAATTTATATTATATTATTATTATAATTTCTTTTACGAATAATATTGTTTTAAAAACCTTTCCGTACGCACCGCACGATATGTCCACGTAGGGGAGAGAATATCGATAAAAAAACGACCTCTTCCATTGTTCTTTGCAGAACCGTGTCAAAAGTTTCCAACCACGCACACAACGAGTCAGAGAAAGTGCCGATTTTTCTAATTTCACTCGGCGAAACCCCCTTTCTCTCTCTCTATATAAAGACAGAGAGATTTGGGGGTTTGAAAACTCCAAGACTGAAACATCGGCCGAAATTCAATAATTTAAAATGGATGAGGCTCGTCGGACGGCAGGGGAAGAACCGGCGGACGGGGAGATCACACCCGGGTTTAGATTCTTCCCCACGGAGGAGGAACTGGTGTCGTTCTATTTGCACAACCAGCTCCAAGGGCGGCGCAAGGACATCCACCGCGTCATTCCGGTCGTCGACATTTACAGCATTGAGCCGTTCAATCTCTCCGGTATGTAATTTTAACTGTAATTATAAACACCCGGCGGCGGTTTTTTGATTAATTTTATGTTTTGGGTTTCAGGGTGTTCGGGAGAGCGGTGTCGGCGGGACAGTGAGCAGTGGTTTTTCTTTGTCAAGCAACAAGAGAGAGAAGCGAGAGGAGGGAGGCCGAATAGAACGACGTCGTCTGGATCTGGCTATTGGAAAGCCACCGGATCGCCGAGTTATGTTTACTCTTCCGATAATAGAGTCATCGGAGTTAAGAAAACGATGGTGTTTTATAGAGGGAAAGCGCCCACCGGAACCAAGACGAAGTGGAAGATGAACGAATATAAAGCCATTGAAGACGATTATTCCAAT